CTGGTATAAATTGTAGTGTATTGTACTTGTGAAAGGTCAAAAAGTGCATGGAGATTTTATGAAAATGTGTGGATGTTAACAGAATGATGTCATGTGGTCACAGTTACGTAATAAATGATGGACTAATTCACTACGTTCAATTACCCACCATAGACTCCGGTCAGTCAAAATGACTATTTTGAACTGTAGGCATTAATCAGCGATTCTGCCGGTGACGGAGAGATAGAATCTAGGTCAGGGGAAGCCCCATGACCTCAAGATTCTTTTACCCCTTACATCACGCACCCACGTGACCAAGGCCACATGGCAGTCCATCACTCTTCATTTTTCTCCGCCTCGTCGGGGAATGATTCTGAGCGGCTCTGTTTTTCCTGTTTTTCCTTTTCCCTGCTTTTTCCTGTCCGGGTTTCTAGCGCAACCGCGGCATCCGACATTCTAGCTGGTAGGATAAGTTTTTCTTGTCTTTTTACCCTCATGTATTATGCTTTTCCACAACAAAGAAATTAAAACCTGGCGCCACTACGTAACCACATGTTGGTTTCATGGCGGCACCTTTTTAACTGTAATTCGTTTCCCTCATGCATGTCGTCTTTTATTTTTAATGTATTTAGAAATGGACAGATGCACTGGCAACGCCAGAGGCTCACCGCCGGTATTATCTCCTCAGTTTATGAGGCTGATCTGTACTCAGTGTACACAGCAATTGCAGGAATGGAACCCGCATACAAAGTGCTATCGTTGTTTCACATGCGTTTGGGGTTCGGGTGTCTGCCCAGAAAATATTTGTAATCACTGGGGTTCGGAAGCCTGGAAGTCGTTCCAGCAGTATGTCAAAATAGCCGAGACTGACCGCGTCGCTCGCGAAAAGGTCGTGCGGCAAGTACTACCGGCATGGGTATGAGTTAGCTGTGCGTTGGCATGATTGATAAGTCCTCGCGCTCGGCTACCGTTTCTCATACCGGAATACCAAGCAAAGGGCGCAATAGTGGGGGTGCCGATATATTTCGGTCGCCTCTACGCTGATGGGATCACAGGCGCCGGGATCCAGATCGACCCCATCCGCACGTCTCTCCTGGTCCAGCCGAGCGCTGAGCGTGGGGGACGGCGTGCAGACTGTGTTGAGGGGCGGTCGTTGGTCAGCTGCGGAGGAGGTAATGCCGAAAGCCCCGGGCTGGGGTAATCTTTTGCATAACTCCTTTTGCTGGACTAAATGCTCGGGGCAATCTCGGATTTGGATCCCAATTCGTGGGACAAAACCAGAAGACCCCGGCCGGACCCCAAGGCTGCTTCCCCAGACCCCGGTACCACAAACTTCTGTTTTGCTAGCCGGGTGAAGGGGGACGGCCGCGTTCCATGGTCATTCTCAACGACCCATTCTGAGACTATCCAACATGCCCTGAGGGCAGAGTTGCGACCCATCAATTTCCTTGAATTCCCCCTCTTGCAACTGCCGAACCCATGGCCACAGATCCCTGTCGCACGGAGATTGCGCCGGTGCATTCTGGCTTGGAGGCAGCGGGTAACCGATCCCTGGACGCTCCAAGTGGTCACACGTGGTTACAGAATACCACTGACATCTCCTTCGTTCCTATCAGTGTCCCCCCCCCGTTGGGGGCACTTCCAGGGAACCCCCACAAAGCGGAAGCAATCAAACAGGAAGTAGACAGTTTGCTAAGAAAGGGCGCCATACACAGAATAGTTCAGCCGGCACTAAGTCCGGGCTTCTACTCAAATGTATTTGTAGCACCAAAATCTACAGGCGGCTGGCGTCTGGTTCTGGACCTAAGCAGACTAAACCAGTATGTGCTTCTCAATCGGTTCCGCATGGAGACACCATCCAGTGTCCTACTCTCCATCCACCGGCTCGACTGGCTAGCCTCTTTAGACTTATGCGACGCTTACCTGCACATACCGATGCACCCAGCGAGTTGCTCTCTCCTTCGATTCACCCATCTGAGCCAAGTATTCAAATTTCAGGTGCTCCCCTTCGGGTTATCCACAGCGCCCTACGTGTTCACCAGAGTGATGAATCAAGTAGTACTGCTGCTCCACCAAATGTCGGTACACATCAATCCGTACCTAGACGACTGGTTGATACACAACCCAGACAAGGGGTTATTAGCCAGACATGTAAGGCTTACACAGGATTTACTTCACCAGTTGGGCTTGTTAGTAAATCACAAAAAGTCCCATCCCGACCCGACTCAACAGTTGGTGTTTCTGGGCATGGAGTTTGACACCGAAGTAGGCCTGGTTCACCCATCTCAATCGCGTTGCCTAGTGCTAAGCAACCTAGCAGAATGCCTAGTCAGCGTTCCTTTAGTGTCTCTCTGAGAACTAATGCGGCTCATTGGAATGATGACTTCCGTTCGAAGGGTAGTTCGCCCAGGCTGCACTACGCAGCAGCCCGGTCCAACGCTTGTTATTGGAACACCGAGCTCACCTACGGGAACTAAACAGACGAGTATTGATCCCGGACCAAGTAAAGGAAACCCTGTCCTGGTGGTTGTCACTGACCAACGTCAGACAGGGGGTCGTCTTGGACCCATTCGTCACAACTATGACTCTGGTAACAGACGCCTCCCTCCAAGGGTGGGGAGCACATCTATTGGACAAACAAGCCCAAAGAATATGGCCCCGCAGTAGGTTCGGGACCACCATATCAACTGGCTCAAGCTGAAAGCAGTGCACCTGGCACTTTCACGCTTTCGACCCGAAGTTCGAGACCACAGAGTCCTGCTCCGCACAGACAACACAGCGGTGGTCTCCTACATCAACAAGGAGGGGGGACGCATTCCCCAACGTTGTCGGCCCTAGCAGAGCAAATTCTCCTTTGGTGCCTGGAATACAATGTGGAGCTAACCGCACACCACCTTCCAGGGGTGAGAAACGGTCTGGCAGACGCCCTTTCGAGGTGCCTTTGTCTCCAGAACACAGAGTGGCAGATCCCCTAGTGGGTTGCCTCCAGGCTGTTTCGGCTGTGGGACGGTCCAAAGATAGACCTGTTTGCCGCACCCCGGAACGCCAAGCTCCCGATGTACGTAACACTCCTGCCGACACCAGGATCCTGGGCCGTGGACGCCTTATCGATCCTCTGGTTCCACATGGATGCACACACTTTTCCTCTCTTCCCGCTAATTCACCGGGTACTGGAGAAA